AGCTTTTTTATATTATAACACATGTACAAACTTGAGTTACTCAAGTCTTTTTAGTAACATTTATTTTTAAAATTTTTAACTTTTTAAATTTATCAAATTATCAACTTATTCAAGTCATCTCTTGATAAAATAAAATTCGTTTGAAATTTTAATTGAAATGATAATAAAAGGAAATACTGTTTTTGTAATCAAATTCATAAGTCCAGAATTAGAATTCAAAACAAGTTGGAGATATAAAAATGATTTAAAATAATTACTAAAATTTTATCAAATAAAAGAGATTATGTGTATTTTTAATTTAAAGTTTAAAGGATAACTTAAAATAAAGTGAATGTGACGATGAGTTTAAAGGGAAGGTTATTTGGCTTTGTTTTATCTTTAATTTTTTTGTGCTATTTCACTTTTAGTTTTATTCATAGGCACTGTTACCAATTTTATCTAAAATTAAAAGTTAAATAATTTAAATATGACAATTACAAAAAGATTAGCAGAATATGATAGTTATAGAAAAACATAATTACATATAAATATAAATTGTTTAGTTTGACAAAATTACTTTTTTAACTTCTTTTAAATGATGGCATCTATTTTTTTTTTTTTTTTTTGGTATATAAAAGGGGCTAAGAGTCCAAACTAAGAATCGCAAAAGAAATAACTAGTTGAACTATCAACAAATATAGAAAAATGTAAATCCTAGGCAAAGGGCGATCAAACACATGAACCCTTTCAATAAGGGTAAAAACTAAGGTTTGTCATAGAATCAGCAATTTGGTTTGTTTTCCTGAGGATATGAATACACTTTAACTCCTAATTCATGTCAGCAATCTCAAGAATAAAGTTCACTAGTGTTGCGTAACTATGAGATGCATTGTATCCTTCATTTAGAAATTTAATTGTAAGGAATGAGTCAAATTCTATAATAATATCTCCCGAAAATCCTATCCTTAATCATATGAATGCCATGGTCAATATCTCAAAGTTTAGCTTGTATAACGAAACATTGCCCCAAATTACAAGAATATCCTAGGAGGAAACCTCCCATATGGTTCTGATGATTCCACCACAAGCTACATTTCGACCTATATCCCTAACCATACTATCACAATTAAGTTTGATAGAGCCTAAAGGGGGAGGAATCCATTGAACATGAGAAGATCCATAAGGATCAGATTGGTGACAGGTAGAAAGCCCCTTATAATGTGCAAATGCATTAGTGATATCTATACACCTTTGACAAATAGAAGCTACCAGACCATGTGTGGTAGAGAGGATTTGCTCAAATACTAAGGCATTATGAGCTCTCCAAAACTCATACACTGCATTAGAGAATATAACTCTCCAAACTTCACTCCCTCTTGAGTTATATACCATGTTTAACTCCACCCATGTTGTAAGATTTACTTCAAAGAAAATGGCATAAGTGCGACCATGAAGGAGCTGCAACCAAGCCGCTTTAATGAGTAAACAATCCCATAATGCATGACAAACTATTTCTGGTTCCTGATGGCACCGAGGGCAAAAATGATCCAAAGATAGACCTCTCTTAACATGAGTAGTGTTTGTCGGAAGTCCATTATGGGTAATTTTCCATAAAAATATCTTGAGTCGCTCAGGTCCTTGCCATTTCCAATTATATGAAAAAATGCATCGTGGCTGATTTTCAACACTGCCATTTAATGATTTATATGCCTCTTTGATCGAGAAAGAAACATCCAAGGAATTCCTCCGAGCAAGCTCATCCACCATATTCTCACGAAGGGTGTAGCATGGCCTTAGATACACTTGGTAACCTCCTCGGGCAAAAGTCCTCTGAGTTTCTCCAAATTTCAATTCTCATTACTAGATACATAGTTAGAAACAAACTCATGTTGAAAATCTTTTGGTCTAGGTTTAATGGCCACCTCAAGCAAACATGGGAATTTTGATACCCAAGGACCTTGCCAAAATAGAACAAACTTACCATCTCCAAGGCGCCAAGTGATATGTGGAACAAAACTAGGCCAAGGTACAAATGCCTAACCAAAAATTTGAGCAGTTTTATGGTTTGGAGATACTTGGTATATAAGCCGTATCGCATTGATATTTATACCTAATGACTTGAACCGAAAGAGCTTCCTTCTAGGTACAAATTTGCCAAATTGCTTTCATCATGAACACAATGTTTGTGTTGTGCATGGTTCGAATACTTAAACCACCTACCTCCCTAGGTTGGCAAATCTCCTTCCAAGAGATCATGTGAATTTTCTTATTATGTTCATCTTCCCCCCCAAATAAACTTTCTCATAAGCTTGTCCATATTACATCATAATGATTGAGGGATGAATGCAGTTAATTTATTTATATATTATAAAATATTTTATTAAAAACATCAAATAAATAATACTTAGATACTTATGTTAGTTTTTAATATATATATATATATATATATAATTAATACTATATAATTAAAAT